TGTTCTGGCAGCCTAGGGCAGACCGATAACCTCTTCTTCCCAAGAGAGTACTTGTCATACTTAAGAGCTTATGTCCCTTGTGTATGATAATATAATGGCGTATTTATTCTTCTGTTTACATTTTGCATGAAAAATATACTTTAGTTACTAAAAACAAATAAAATGCCATTGATGGCCCAGCAGAAGTAGTCAGCCTTCAAGTCCCTGCTCAGTCAACAGCGGTATTTCTAGAAGCTTCCACAGTGACCTCTAGACAGGGTTAACTGTTATATTTTTTAGCACTTGTATAATGCCGCTTTGAGGACCAATCTCACGGACTTGGGATAATTGTCGCTAATTTGTCTCCTTAACTAGATTGTGAGGCTCTTGGGGGCCAGAAATATGCTTTATTCATCTTTTTATTCTGTTTAACTCAGTACCTGGTACTTATTATACAGTCAGTAAATCCTGGAAGATACAGTCTCTTACTCATGTGGTGTCAAGAAATTGGGCATCACAGATCTGATAGGTTTAGGGGTCTTTCGTCCTGCTGAGCAGCCTGGTTGGACACTGTTAACTATAAAATTTCAATTTCCCTCCTGTGACACCACATTAGGATTTAAAGGAAACCTAGTGATTCTGGGTGCTCCTGTCTTATTGCAACCCCCCTCCATCATAATATCTTCACCTCATCTTCCCCAAGAGAGCAGATCTAAGAGGGAGGCTTTGATTAGACCAGTCCCCCTTCCTCTAGAGGACCGCAGGACCCAGCCCACTATGCTCATGTCCCCAGTAATCGCTCAGTCACCACCCAGAGTCCCAGACTCCCAGTCCCCTATCATCACCTGAGCTTCTTCCATCATCTATTCAGTATGGCCCCTAATTTGATCCAGTTTATGTCCCTTCCCAAACATCCTCTCTTCAGGTGGTCCCTAAGATCAAGTCAGTCATCAGTAATGGTCCCTACAATCCTCAGTCCCTAGAACAGTCCCTAGAATCCTAGAAGTTAAAGAGCAACACACAACCTTCTTGACTGGTCTTACTTTAAATTTATGACCATAAGTCTCAACAGGACCTCCTGGCGACTCTACTAAATTTCCATAATCTATCTACTCTGTCACCTCAAAGATTAATATTTCACATCTTTTTTTTTTTAATTGGGAAATTGGGGGAGGAGAACAATGTTGAGAAATTGGGGAGGGGGACCAGCCAAGTTGTTGTTCTTCAGTCTTAGTTGTGGAGGGCAACAGTTGCCATCTGGCTGCCAGTTGGCAGCTCGTGGCCTCTAAGCTCAAGGTGCTGTGTTCAATCTTAGTTGCGGGTGGGCATAGCCACCATCCCATGTGGGAGTCGAACCCAGCAGCCTTGTTGTTAAGAGCACACACTCTATCCACTGAGCCATCCAGGCGGCAGGCAGCTCAGCTCAAGTGCTGAGTTCAGTCTTAGTTGAGGGCGGGTATAGCCCACCATCAAACAGGCAGTCTAGTTGTTAGGAGCATGTGCTCTCACCAGCTGAGCTATCCTGCCACCTGTTGGCAGCTCAGCAACAGCTCAGCTCGGGCGCAGCATCACTGGCCCATGTGGGAATTGAACCGGCGGCCCTGTTGTTCAGAGCTTGCACTGTTAAGCTAACTCTTAAGCAACTGAGCCATTCGGCAGGCCCTTCACATCTTTTTTATTTTTTTGCTCCTCAAACCATCATCATTTCTTACTCCTTCCTCTCTCTTAGATGATGGTCTTGCTACTTATTCCACTGAGGACATAAATATATTCTGAAGAGACCTTTACCTCTCCCCCTCCACTGTGTTTTTTCATCACTTCCCAACCCTCCACTTGGGCACTGACTCTCATCTCCTGCCTTGCCTCTACTACCAGCGTCTCTCTATTCCATCATTCCCATCAGAATATGGACGTGATATCTTTTCTCCCACCTTTGAGAATTCTCTCTAGATCCTTTCCACTATACTCTATTTCCTTGCTCCACGGTCTAGCAAAACCTTTCTAAAGAGTTGCCTATTTTCACAGTTTCCACTTCTTCATCTTCCACTCTCTCTAGAAAGCGCAGAACCAGGCTGTCGTTTCCATCACTCCACTGAGACTATTATCCTCAAAGGACCTCTTCATATCTGCATGGACCTCCCCTTGGCCCCATCTAACGTCGATGCTGCCTTCCTCTGATGTGGCCTGGCAGCTGCGTGTGACACAGCTGAGTACTCTTGCTCTCCTGAAGCATTTCCCTTTGGCTTCGGGACCCCCGCACTCTTCTCCCTGGCCACTCCTTCTCAATTTCTTTTGCTGGTTGGTTCTCCTCCTTTGCCCAGCCCTCAAATATCAGAACGCCCAGAGGCTCAGTTCTTATCTGTTTTCTCTATATACTTTCTCCTATAGATCCTTCCATTCCTGTGCATTTAAATATGTTGAACATGTCCCAAGTTTATATAGTAGCCCAGCTTCGCCTCTTAGCTTCAATTCATGTCTAGCTGCCTGCAGTGCATCTCTACTTAGGTATTGAATGGACACCTCTTGACATAGACTATACAAAATAAACGCTCGTCTTTTACTCTCCCACCAGCCCCTTTTAACTCTGTCATTCTCTAGTTTTCCTGATCTCAGTAAAATGCACTATTTACCCAGATACTTAGGCCCCAGACCTGGGAATTATGTTTAATTCCTCTCTTTTTCTCACACCTTATGCCCACCTTTGAAATGAGTGCTGAATCTGATCACTTCTCACCTCTTCCACCTATCTCATCTGAGGGAGAGCATCAAGACCTTTCTTCCCTTGACTTCTCTACCAGCCTCCTAACTGGACTCCCTGCTTCCACTCTCACTCCCAAAACAGCCCACTCTCCACCCAGCAACCAGAATGATCCATTAAAAATATAAGACCAGCCACTCACCTGCTTCCAACCCTCTGATAGGATGGCTTCACATCACAATTAGAATATTATGCAAATTATACTTTGACCCAACAAATCCACATTACTTTGACCTTGTCTATATCCTCAGCCTCTTTTTGAACTTGTCTTCACCTTTAATTTCTATAGTTCATCCATGCTAGCCTCTTTGCTCTGCCTTGAACAAGTCAGGTTCTTTCCCATCTTTGCATTGGCTGTTCCCTCTGCCCAGAAAGCTCTTCCTCCCAGACTTTGCAAGCTTGTTCTTCACTTTAGTCAGGTGTATGCTCAAACACCACCTCTTCAGAGAGGACTTTCCTGACCACCCTCCTCCCATTGTCTTACTACTGTCCATCCTCTTATTCTGTTGACCTTTTACACAGTGCTTATTAATCCTGAATTCTTGGCACATATTTACTTGTTTATGTCTATCTCCCCCAAAAGAATATAAACATCTCACTGGCAAGGACTTTTCTGCCTTATTCATCCTAAGTGTCTAGAACAAGTACTCAATAAATACTTGACGAGTGAATAGATGCATGAATAAATGTGCGAATTCCAGGAGGAAGTAAGCATTGGCATGCAGAAAGGTAGATAAGTGGCTCAGGTAAAGAGTGTTATTTAAATAAATTCAAAGCTCTGATGTACTTTCAGGAGCAGAGTAAGCAGGAATGATGGGCAGGCTCAATGGAAGGTCAGCTAGTGGACTCAAAAAGGCCTCTCGAGTAGCCCCATCAGATAGAAATTTCTACAATGATGAAAATGTTCTGTATCTTAGCTGTCCAAAACAGTAGCCATTGGCCACATGGAGCTATTGAGTACTTGAAATGTGGCTAGTGGGACTGAGGAACTGAATATTAATTTTCTTTTGTTTAATTCACATTAAATAGCCACATGTAGCTGGTGGCTATAGAATTAGACAGTGAAACTCCAGAACTTGAAGAATTCCTTACCCCCACTTGTGATTTTAGGATAATAATGCATACCTCACTGAGCTGTTGAGAGGACTAATGAAATAGAAAGCCTTGTCAAATGTCTGAAACAGAGCTGGCCCTCAGAAAATAATAGCTGCTTTCATTACAGAGTTATAAATTAAAGTACTTTAAGTACATATCAGTTAAATTTGGCTCTTAAGTGTCGGAGAAAGACTTTTATTGATTTGTATCATAATTTTTTGTTTACCAGAGTTAGTGGATAACCAATGTGCGCGTTTATATTTGAGCTCACAAACTAAAAATAGCCAACAACCATTTTGGGATCTCACGAAGGCCTTTCAGTGATAGATGCCAAGTGGATCAGCTTGCTGATACTTCTAATGAGCTAATTAGTTTTGACAACAGCTAATTTAGCATTTGCAAAATTTGGATTTGTAGCATTACTGTATTATTTTCAAACAGTGTCATTTGCAACTTCCCAAATGTTTTTGGATAACAGTAGAGTTTGCCTTCATATTTACTGTTAAAATAAAGGGGAAAGTACTTACTGGAAACATTATGTTGAATTCTTTAAAGCTTACATTGGTTTGGACATAAAATCATTTTTTGTGTGTGTCAGTGGCTCACCATGTCTTCTTCCACACTGAATCCAGAATATAAAATTAACACAGATCTAGAGCATAAGCAGACCATTATAACTGGCCCTTAGGAATAATCTAATCTAATAAGAAAATTACACATTTGTCCAGAATAAGCATGGTGCTTATTTTTAGGTCAAGAGAATCTGAGGTCCACAGAAGCGGAGGTGGAAGTGGCACTCCACAGCCCCTGCCTAGGTGCATGGTGGAGGCTCTGAGTCTTGAAAGAAGGATGTATTTAAATTAAACCAATACTTACAGGCATTGAGGAAAGTTGGTGTTCTTATTAAAGAGACCAATTCATCTGTATCAGTTGGAAGCTACTTTACAGTAGTTGAAAAAGTGCCATAGGAGAGCATGTAAATGAGACTGGAGTAGAAAGACAATGAAAATTCACTGTTCTACAAGGGAGGCGTTCCTAACTGCTCTCCTAGCTTTGCTGTTTGAAATGCAGATCCTTTATCATCGACCCCCGACTGTGAGTCTGGGGTAGCAGAAGGGGAAGAGGGCGAAGACCCTAAATACGAAGATGAAGTGTTGTAAAGACTTACCAATGGGCATCACTAAGAAAAAAGGCAGCCAGCAGAGGACGAAGCAGCCGACCACGATGCCCAGAGTTTTGGCCGCTTTCTTCTCCCGGGAAAACTTGAGGAGTCTCACGGAGAAGTGCGTCTTGTTTCTAGCGCTGGGCCCCGCGTTGCCTCCTACCGCGACATTTTTCCGATGGATGCGGAGCGTCACTTGCTCCGAGTCCGACTTGTCGGTCTTGAGGCCAGACTTGAGGCCCCGGCTCTCCCTCTTGGCCACCACGTAGACCCGGCAGTACATGACCAGGATGATGGCCAGCGGCAGGTAGAAGGAGCCCAGCGCAGAGAAGAGCACGTAGCCGGGTTCCTCGGTGATCTGGCAGACGGTCTCATCCTCAGGGGGCGGCTGCCTCCAGCCGAACAGAGGCCCGATGGAGATGACAAGGGAGAGCGCCCAGACACAGAGCAGAGCCATGACACCCCTCTTCTGGGTGACGATGGTGGGGTAGCGCAGCGGGTAGCTCACGCCGATGTACCGGTCGATGGAGATGATGCAGAGCCCCATGATGGACGCGGTGCAGCACAGGACATCCACCGCCGCCCAGATACTGCAGAAGACCCTGCCAAAGGCCCAGTAGCCCAGGATCTCGAAGATAGCAGAGAAGGGCAGCACGGTGGAGGTTAGTAGAAGGTCGGCCACGGCCAGGTTGACAATGTAGTAGTGAGTGACCGAGTGCAGATGCCGGTGGCAGGCCACGGAGAGGATCACGAGGATGTTCCCCAGTACTCCGAAAATGATGAGGCCCCCCAAGATCACCCCGAGCAGAATGGCCTTGGAAATGTTCACCGGTGCTGGCGGGTGAGTGCAGTTGGAGCTGTCGGAGGCATTTCCAGAGAGAAACACCATGGTCTCTGCTGGGCTGGGCGAGGTCCGTGTCTCGAGGGCCACCCCCGGGCGGGGGCGGAGGCGGGAGCGAGGGAGCAGGGAGTCAAAAGGTCTCGGCTCGGGGGAGCTTTGCCCGCTGGGGTTGGCTGGGGGTGACAGAGAGCGCACGGGTGGGTAGCAACCCCGGCCAGCCCTGGAAACCCTCAGAAGGCCACGCAAAGGGGCAGGGCATTAAAGGCGACATGGCCAGGAGTGCTCGGGGCTGCTCGCGGACCTCCTTCACCCGCTGCGCTGGCCGCAGGTCCCAACTCCCTACCGACCCGAGGCTTGGTGCCAACCTGGAGACAAGTTGCAAAACGCAATCCCAGAATTACGGAAGTCCGGTTTTCTGCACTGTCTGATCCCTTTTGATTAGAAGATTCAGCATTCTGCATGTAATTTGGAATTCAAAAATCCAATACCAGTCTCCCTCCAAACCACAAGCAAGTACCGGTCTGTCATCGACTCTCAAAGGCGGGGACCATTGACATCTGGGCACTTCTTCTGGTCCGCAGTAACCCACAGTGTGGCTGGCCCGCCGTGGACTCGTGATAGATCCAGCTTCTTTCTAGGCGCACATGCCTGGGGACAGGGATGTGAAACGTTTGCCAAGACAGGCGGCTGCGGAGCGTTGCATGCCCGCGTCCTTCTGAAAGAGCGCAAAGAGAAAGTCAGGGTGTAAGCCAGGAGCCGGGAGGAGTGAGGACGTGCGGCGCTCGACGGTTCGGACCGGGCTGGGAGCCCCGTGGACTCTGCAGTCCCGGAGCGGCTGGCCTTGCCGCAGCAGAGGCGCCGCAAGGGGGGACGGCGCTCGGTGCCCAGGCTGGGAAGCTGCCCTGGTGCGCTCCGCCGCGCCGCCTCCGGCTGGGTGGAAATCCCAAGCAAATGAAGTCCAAACTGCAGCGCCTGACGGCCAGGTGCCGAGCGACTGTACTGCGAAATTACTATCTCCGAAGCCCGCGAGGCGAGACTGCGGCTGCCGAGTGTGTGGCACCCAGCCGAGCTGGCAGAAACCGGAGGATCTACCCGGTTGCCACTTGTATGGGTTGCTTCGCAATCACCTGGAGAGGCCGGCGGGGGAGAGAAAACCGCTGCGACCCGGGAACTCAGGGCCAGTGCCACACGCACGCTCGCGCCGGAGGAATTCACACTTGGGTGTGTGGAGCGCGCGTGTCTGTCGACCAGCCAAGCCGGCCTGAGAGCCAGGTCCCGAGCAAAGCCTGGCGGGTCCCGAGGTCTGAGCGCTACCCTAAGTCTGTCCAGGAATCCATTCCAAACCATGGGTCAATGGTCCCGGAGGATTCGAGCCTCGAGCCAACCCAGGTGGGCTGTTGGTGTGTGTATGGTGGTGGC